GAGGTGAGGTATGCAATCTCTAAGGGCGGTAATAACCTAATTACCATACGTATTATCATTATCAATGTCTTTTTATACAATGGTATTATATACAGTATTTTATCTACAACCGTGCGGTAACAAAATATCCGAAAGAACTTTTAAAAATTATTTAAAAAAAAATTGCGTGTGTCACGTTTGACAGTGGCCAAGTAGAATTCAGGTGATAGTTAGGTAATTTATCTCTGGTAGGGTAGGTAATTGAGGGTGCGTACATATGTAAGTAGAACGTGCGGTAATAATATTACTGCATGCCGTGCGGTAATAGGGTACTTACCACACGCAAAATCGAGTAATATACCTTAGCTATCCCACGCTTGTAGATAAACTAATTTAAAGTGAAAGCGGTACGGAGAATAAATTTCTAAGGATAAAATAAATCAAGAAAGTGTTTACGGTAAATTATCAGCACCTCTCTATTTTAGCTAATTACAATAAACTCAAAATAAAGTATTCGTGTTTCAAAGGTGTCGGTACACGAAATAGTATATTTCATTACCAGCCCAGAAAAAAGGATTTTTGGGTGTCCGAATTTGGATGGTTTTAATAGGAAACGTCAATTTCTGAGCGAGATACAAAAAAATGAACCCCCGACTCCGAGGCTCAAATTTCTTGAAATTTTGATTGCTACAAACCGCATTTTGATATCTTCAACCGTTTAGCCGCTAGAGGGCGATTCTCGATTTTGAGCAATACTGTGGAATCTTCATAACTTTTTTGTTTATGAAAATAACTGATTTCCGTAAAATCTTCCTAGAAGCACTTTTTCAAGCAGAATTCAGTGACGTTTTCAGTTTTTTTCTATTGGGCCTCGATTTCAAGATATTGACCAAAATACGATTTTTTTCAATGGGACACCCTATATATTAATAGCTCATTAGAAAGCTCTGCTTTTGCTGATTTCAATGATACAAATTTCGATAGGTTTATCAGTTTTCGAGAAAAAAATATTTCGGCTTTTGTCATGAGAAACAATGAGTTAGAAAGAGACCTTTCTAAGTTTCCTTACAGATATAAAGTCCTTTTCTTACACATTGCTTCTTATGACAAAAACCGAAATAATTTTTTTTCTCGAAAACTATTAGAGATAAACCTATCGAGCTTGATTTCATTGAAATCAGAAAAAGCCGAGCTTTCTAATGAGCTATTAATATATAGAGTGCCCTATTGAAAAAAAGCAGTCTTTGGTCAATATCTCGGAGTTGGGACCAACTAGAAAAAAACTGAGAACGTCACTGAATTCTGCTTGAAAAAGTGCTTCTAGAAAGTTTTTACGGAAATCAATAATTTTCATAAACAAAAAAGTTATGATGGTTTCACATTATTGCTCAAAATCGAGAATCGCCCTCTAGCGGCTAAACGGTTGAAGATATCAAAATGCGGTTTGCACCAATCAAAATTTCAAGAAATTTGAGCCTCGGAATGGGGGGTTCATTTTTTTGTATCTTGCTCAGAAATTGATGTTTCCTATTAAAACCATCCAAATTCGGACACCCTGTACATAGGTAAATGATGGTAGTCACAGAAACTCAAATCGTTTTTCATTTTTTAGGGTGCATTGGTGCATTTATAATAAGATTTCTTTGTTTCATTTTTAATGAATGACAAGGATGCAATATTGAATGACGTATAATCTGTTTAGCGCACGGAAACAGAGATCGGGAAAAATTTTCCGTGCGCTGTTCTGGAAACGTCACCTTTACTTTATTGTAGAGACAGTTAAAAAAGAGGTATTTTCACATAAGTATAATAAAAAGTTATTTTTCTACGAGCGTGCGGGAAATGGCTCTTCCCGCACGATTTGCTGTGCGGGAAGACTTTTTTCCCGCACCAGTGCGGGAAGAGACTTCTTCCCGCACTCAGTGCGGGAAGAGTTTGAAATAATCATTGTGACATGGAATTGTTTGTATTGTTGATACACCTATACCTTTACCTTTAATACCTTTACTTTTTTTTTATAAATACCTTTCAATGCATTTTTAATTCTACCTCCTGCACAATCGCATTTTATTTAAATTAAACTTTTCGTAACATCAGCTTTAGTATGCTCGTAGAAAAAATATAGTTCCTAACTCTTGCAGGAAGAAATTTCCGGCACTCGGGCGCTTCGCACCCTCGTGCCCGCACTCGGTAGGTAAATAGCTATTCTATTACTACCTGCACAATAAGTGACTATTGTTGTTTGTCTATTAAAAATAACTATTGTGTACTCGATTGTGTATTTATAAAAAAAAAGTTAATTCTTACCGCACGAGTGCAATCATGAACGCGTTATGATTGATTACCGCACTAGTGCGGTAATAGGGCTCATCACATAACTCAAATGAGCAAAAATTAGTGACATAATAGTCACTTATTGTGCAGGTCGTAGATAAAAATATAAAATATATCGGAAGAATTGGTACGGAATAAATGTAAAATTTAGCAACGGTAATGAATATAAAAGTTGTGAACCATTTTTCTGGTATTAATGACCCGATAAAAAAAAAACTAAGATTTTCGGTACCACATTCCCTTCAGTAATCCGGACGGATAGCTATGGCAATAATTCTAATAAATTTTAAACGAAAACGATTATCCAGAATTTGCCAAAAAATTTATCTGGTTAATCGGTTACTGGCATTTACTTAATGAAACAAATTTTTTTAAGAATTCCTAACCTAATTTTATTTTTGTGTCAAGAAACGACATACGTTTTGTTACTAGAACGACTGGTACTTCTAAATAGGTATTAAAAATACTATAATAGTAAGAAATCCACTTTTCAAAAAAAAAAGTTGAGTTGAGTTTTCACAAACGGCGCGGATTCTTCCGGATGTTTCGGAGGTCCGCGATCTAGTTCTACCAATTTTTCCTCTTCTCTTCGTTGAGTACTCCCTCCCCACTTTGGTGGTGTCGTCACGAAACGACGTCGGGTGGCGTGGTAGTACTCCCGGCGTAGAGGCAGGGCGGTTATTCAGTAGCGGCGATAGTATCTCTGATAGGATCCGAAAATCGGTTCTCGGTTCGGATGCGGTATGTCAGTGACGGGTAGCGGACAAAAAAAAAATTACTTCGTTACAGTAGTCATGGAACAAATTTCACTAGAGAAAATTTCCTATTATTTATGTAATCACCTTTTTTTTCTTGTAAAATGAATATTTTTAGTGTACGAGTGCGACAAAAAGACGCTTGCACAAAGATCTGCCAGCATATCACCAGTTGAATCGTCGAATAAAAAACAAAGTCAGGGTAGCTGAAGAAAATTGGCTGAACGAAAGGTGTAAGGAAATCGAAGACCTAGAAGCAAAATATGACAGTTTTAATATGCATAAGAAAATTAAAGAAGCTGCTGGTGTAAATATCATTGAAATGTCTTTTCTGAATGACGATTGATATAGAAAACACGTCGGTGAAGTCACAAATTCAATATCTCTACTGGTTTCTAAATAGAATTTTCTAGAACAACTTGAAAATTCACTATCACAGTCAAAATCGAGTATACAGTCACTTCCGGGATAATTTACACAATCGGTTAAGTAAGTCTCTTTTGGTGATTTTCACTGCTTGCACTGACTAACTGTCCCAATGTTCACTTATAGTGTCCACAGTGTCCACACTATTCTGCAGTCGGATTTAACTTTACAATCTTTGAATTATATACCACTTCTGACACCAATATCACGGCTCTGGGGTGCGTGACATAAATATTGGTTCTGTTATTTCCAAAAATCAAAGTCAGTCCAATTACTTCAACAATAATTTATTCCACGTTACTATACACTCTGACACTAATTAATTCACTAATTAACTCAAACAACTAAATTCTTTACAACTCTCAACAATAATCACTATCTAAATCATATCAAAGTCAATCCCAAACTTAAAACTACTAACTAATACCGGCCTTTATATATCCTTAATCTATTCGTGTAGAATCCAGAATCAACGCGATAACCTTTTTGCCCGAATGAAGCAGTATTTTCTAGACTTCAAGTTAAATTCTGTACATGCTGGCGAACGCGCCACAATATCTAGAAGTTAAATCAGTTGAGAAAGGAAGATAAATATTTTGTATTTAGTGCAAAGTTTGCATAGAATACAATATCATTTCCCATTACTCAACTTTTTGATTTGCTCGCGATTCTCTAGCCGCAATCCATTGTCTCTAAGTTTTGGCCTCCCCTCACGAAATCAGGGAATTTAAATCCCAAATCAATTAAACATCCCCCCGCAACCTAAACCGCTTTACTGAAACTTACTGGGTGAAGTTAAAGTTTTAACGTATTAGGTTAGGTGCCTTCGATAGGACCGTTAAGGGCTTTGATGGCCAATAATTATTAGGACATAAGCCAAAAGTTTTCGACCTTATCCAACATGTACAGTAATAAATTTTGTTGGTTATGGGGCTTTACTGCCACATTAATTATTGGTTAAACTATAAAATTTATATATTTTTCCTGCTTTTTGAACACATTTTTTTTTTGCTGTGGCAAATGGATGTTCCATGTAAAGTAGTGACAATGGAATCCGATAAAAAAAAACAGCAACTGTTCGTTTTCATTTCGAAAACGCTCTTGTTTATTTTGAAGAAGTGTTTATAATACAATAAAGGATAGCCTGATTTAGTTATTCTTCTCTAATTACAAGGTGTAGGTTTTGTTATTAAAATGTTCTCATTACTTATTTGGATCTTCTAATTAAACAGATATTTAGGGTGTAAGAGCTTGGCGTTTGAATTTATTGAAGGAAATACTCTCTACAATTTTTTTTGCTGGATAGCTGTAAAAACTGCTAACTCTTTATATCTATAATCCATGTTTCATTGTTAATTTATTGATATGATATTTAAGGTACCTATATTATGTGCTAATTCTGTGAAAACGCGTTTGGAATAATGACGTTTGGAATCAGTTTCAGGTTATTGCTACAAACCTTATTTCAATTTGTCTAATTTGACAAAAAAATGAAGTAATAACATTTTCCATTAAAAAAAAATAATAACAAATTTTCACCTTCAGAAAAAAAAAACATCATTTCAATTTCAAGCCAAATTTACTGTTATGAACTGAGAATATGAGCAGAAATGCATCAAGCCCAAGTAATCTAGGACTAACTCCGAATTCAAATGGAAATACAGCCGGTCTTATGGATAAGGATTCAGAAAAGTATTGCTGGGTTTGCTTTGCCACAGAAGAAGAGGACCGAGAGGCTGCATGGGTAAAACCATGTAAGTGTCGAGGAACTACAAAATGGGTACATCAAAGTTGTCTACAACGATGGGTAGATGAAAAGCAGAAAGGGGGAAATATGGGTAAAGTTTTGTGCCCCCAGTGTCAGACAGAGTATATTATAATTTTTCCAAATATGGGCACTGTAGTACATATTCTCGACGCAACCGATAAATTTATTAATCAATCATGCCCTTTTATCGCGGCAGGAATTGTTGTTACGGGATTGTATTGGTGCTCAGTGACTTATGGAGCCATTACAGTTATGCAGGTTATAGGTCAAAAAGAAGCTCTAGCAATAATGGGAGAAGCAGACCCATTGATATTGCTTGTAGGACTTCCAGCCATTCCAATAGCGTTAGTTATGGGAAAATTGATCCGTTGGGAAGAGGCAGTACTTTATTTTATGAGAAAATTTTTCAATAAAATACCCCTTATTCGAAGAATTCCGCTTTTTAGAATTGATATAGAAAGAACTACTCTCCCAGCATCGAGCTTGGAGAACAATCTTCCACCAATTAGTATAAATGGCCCAATTTCCACCACTAGAGTGCTTTGTGGAGCATTAATACTTCCAACCATAGCATCAGTTATTGGAAAAAACTTATTTGATTCCATAAAATCCAACTTTCACAAGACGTTATTGGGAGGGCTCGTATTTATAACCTTTAAAGGTTGTTTGAAAATTTTTCATAAACACCAAAACTACATCAAAAGATGTTATCGACAAATTTTAGACTATACCGAATCAAATATTTCGGCATACGTGAGGGACAATTCAGAAAATCGATAGGTTTGTCAATTTTTAAGAAAATAAAATTTGTTTTTTTATTACATGATGATATTTTGTATACTTTTATAAACTGAATAAAAACAATTGATATAGTTATATAATATGAATTGAAGAACACTTAAATTATAGGTAGATTTGATTATATTGGATTTAATTCAAAATTCAACATTGAACCATTGCAACCTTGTCAGATTTATTGAGGTATCCCCTGTTAGAGTGCGTTGTCTAGGCCCTTTGCTATTAGACTAGCGCCGTGACACTGGCCACTGGCCACTTCATATAGCTTTCCGTTTGGGCTGTTCCCCTCAAAGTCTTGTGAGCCGCCTGCCTTGCAATGGCGTCACACATGTACGGCAGTTTGTTCCGCCTTCTGGCAGAGCCTGCATAGGCTGATCCTTTTCAGGTGCTCGTTATGTTCGCAATGCCTTGTTGATTGATCTTCTGTTACCCTTACAACCTCACGACTGTGGCTCAATAGGTCCGTTGTGAACTTGGGCGAGCAGGATTTGATTAACTGCTTAGTCGGAGGTTGTCTTGGCGTTTGCTGCCATCAGCTCAGAAAATCTCTGGGAAATATTTGGAAAAGACATACTGGGATTCCGCAAAAAAATTCTGGGCCTATCATATCTGTGGCTGAGCCTTCTTTGAGTAGGTTGTCAGCCTCATCAATTACTAGGTGGCCCTCGTGGCCTGCTACCCAAGCTGAGTTTGTTAGACATCCCACCTCATCTAGGGCATATACAGAGTGAATTTCAAGTATGGAACCTCTCAGTTATCTCGAAAACGGCTTGCACGATATTAATGAATTCTGGTTTGAGAGAGTATTGTAATATGGCCGATATTTATCGGACTATTTACTTACATGATTCTCAGGTTTTAAGTTTTTTGAGAAACATCAGAAACCTTGTTTCTTCGAACGGATCACTCTGTATATTATGACAATTCTGGGTTCTGCAGAAAAATCAAGACACATTTTATGTACAAATGTCATATACGTACCTATCTTTAATAGTTTCAGAAATATTGAGAGTTTCTGGACTCGATCAATTTTCAAATTGTTTTCCAGGTCCGTTTTGCAATTATTGTAACTGCTATTCTATGTATATAATATACAGGATGAACATTTGAAAAGTAGCAATAGGGAATATCTCTTAGACAAAAAATACTACCTATATCACGAAGATCTCAAATACGTATCGGGGGATTGGAGGGGGAACCAAAATGAGGAACTTTTTGAGTCACTTCGCCGCACCCCTTAGGAGGTAGCTACCCCAACTATTTTTTTTTAATACGAACTCACCTTGTGTTGCACATCGTTGGATAGCTCGTTGCTTTCCCTTTACAGAAGTATAGAAAAATTTTAAATTGTACATTAGTTTTTGAAATATCAATGCTTAGAAGTAACCACATTTTGAAACTAGTTATTTTGACTATTTATTTATTTTATTTGGAATAAAAACAGGATAAACCCACTACAGTATCCACTTATTTCTATTACACAAAAAATAATAGAGTAGAGATAATGGGTTCAGGACTTTGGAAATGAAACTCCCTTTTTTCAAAAAATTATGCCGACGTTTTGACCATTTATTTGGTCTTCTTCACAGGCTATTTTTTACCAGCAAGGGCGTTTGACGTCAAATACCAATGTAGGAAACATTCCAAAACACAAAGGGACACATATTAGTCTAAATTATTTTTTAATTTTTGCTCTGTATATCGATAAACACGTATAGGTTACAGTAAGTTGGCAAACACAGCCGCGACATTATTTTTCAGTTTAAAAATAATTTGAAAGTCTCTGTTCTCATATGATTAAGTATTGAGTTTCATTTATTTTTCCATAAATTGAGTGTATTTCTCTTCAAGTTGAGGATCTTTTGGAAATCGTTGCTTCAGCTGCGGTAGTTGTGCGGCTGCACGTGATCTTGAGATCCCTAGTTGTTGAAGTTTATCGTTGAATGGGATATCTGTTGGATTATTTCATGTGACAGAATTTTCGTTATCCGAAAATATTTTATGAATTTATGTTCAGATAAATATACGAATGGATCCCGTATTTGGAGCACCTGCCGTCGTCCGTGATTAGCCTGTTCCCCGGCATCTTGCAAATCGCCAATAATGATATGGGCCGCAAACTATCTTATTTAAAAATTCATGTACTCAACAAAGCATAAAAACCAATGACATAACACACATCACTTTTCACTGTAAGTTACCCACTAAGCAAAAAAACATCCCAGTTTCGTCACAACTTTGTTTTAAAGGTTACACGTTACATTATTCAAAAAGGATCTGTTACGCCGCCTTAATGGAATAGTGTGGTTATAAGTCCTCAAACATAACAAAATCGCAGTTACGTTTATAAATTAACGTTCTTTTTTCGTAACTATACCATAACAGTTTCGTTTTTGGGATGTTCTTATAACAAACTCATGACAACGTTATATTTATGTTATTAGGTTTCGTTTTTGTTTCGAGTCTATGTTATAGTAGTTCCGTTTTTGCGATATTTTTATAACAAACCCATGATGTTCTATTATATCAATAAGTTACGTTTTTGTTTCGAAACTATACCGTTGAAAATGTTATTAGTTACTTAAGATATAATAAAACGAAGAATTGATAGTTATTTAATTTATTTAATAAATTGAAAAATTATATGATTTCAGGCTGACCTCTGGTGATGCTAAAACAAATAATACAGAATCGTTATTTTTTTAATTAACTTTTAAAAGGATAAAATTTACCAATTTTTTCGGAATTTTTGCTTGAGGCGCTGATTCGAATGAATAAGTCATCTCATCACCACCTTTGTCCGTCACCTCTTCACCAGTCAGGACTTGGAAAAAACAAACTTATTAATCAATCAAAAAATATTTTAGATCAAAATCAAACTTTTTAGAATATGCTCGATTTTGCAAATCCCTTATTTTGAAATAATTTTTTTTGCCAGTCCACGAACAATGTATAATGTATAGACAATTTACTGGCGAAAAGATTGGCCAATCCTCTTCTTAAGAATTCGGCCCTATTTGTGCCTTCTACTTAAGTCTAGGTATTTATATTGAAAAGTAAGAATGATACCAGCACAACCTCAATACCTAAAATAATAACAAATAGGTAGATCATGCATACTTTTTGTTAAAAAATAAACTTACTTTAAGATCCATCTTCAGAGACTCGCCCTGTTTGGTTTAGCACATCAGTTTCAGAGGAGCACAATACAATATGTAGGTATAGGTACCTATACCTACCTACCAAGTACCACACAAAAAAAACACTCCAAGAAACACATAGGATGATATCTATAATTAAAATTATTTTTATAACATAAAATAACCTATATTTTACCCAATTTTACCTAATAAAAATCCAGAAACACCGATTTTTATACAGTAGGCCTGACCTAACCTAACCTCTAACCTGAAACTAAACAAATCTGCGGCGTTGTTCGAAAATAATGAAAGTGATACGTCCTTTGGGACGTATCAAGCATGTTGTACCTAACAACATCAAAAACGTTATATTACCAAACAAGTTAGTTTCGAATTTGCAACGTTTATTTCGAAACGAAACGAAAATATAGAACAGAAAACGTCACAAACATGTCATCACGTGAAACGTAGCAAGAATGTAAATAATATACTGTCCATATAACGTTAAATACTCAACGTTGCTAGGATAAACATCTATTTCACGTTATTGGAACGTTGGTTTTACAACAGAACCAATACAATTGCAAAATAACGTTCTGAAAACAGGAATATGCAAAACGTTTTGAAAAGTAGTAACAAATATGACTTTACTACGTTACATTAAAAACGTTCATTGAGTTTCATTTTAAAAACGTTACAAAATATCCCAAGTATGTTTCTTGCTCAGTGGGTATAGGTTAAAATATGAATGAACTTCACTTCTCCTAACTGAGACCAGTGGAAGTAGGTTCTCTCACCGTTCGTAGGAAAGGAGCTGTTCACAGTTTCAAGAATACCTATTTTTCACTTCCATGAGAACTTTTACAATTTTCTCATGAGAAACGAGCTCCCCGATTTCAAGAATAGCCGTCCTGGGCCCTTTTTAGTACCAATAGCCCTTATTTTGGCCTTGACCGCGCCAAGGACATTTTCTTTACACATACGTGAAGTAAATCTCACAATGATGGGCTTAGGTTGTTCGGTATTGTGTGCCTGAACACGAAGAATGAAATCTATTTTATCTTCAGTTATTTTGTGATCAACAAATGTACAAATAGTTTGCAATATTAACAGCAAATTTTCATTCTTACGCTCAGGAACACCTTGAATTTCTATATTATTACTTCTAGAGAATTGCTCCATGGGATCAATTTTTCCCTTCATAGACTGGATATCAGCCTTTAATTTCTCGTGCTCAGCCTTCAAAACTTCAATACTCTTAATGCAAGTTTCTTCAATGTTGCCTCGAAGTCCGTTATCTTATCAGAGCAAAAAGAAACAGATTTTCGCAACATACGCAATTCATTCTCTAAACCAGCACCATTTGATGCAACGTGGGGAGGTTGCATAGGCAGACTCACTCGACGTGGCCCCGACGACAAGCGTCGCTCAGCGTCAGATGTACCGACGACGGCGCCAGTCGCACAGCACGACTGACAGACCCATTTTGCTCCGGGCGTCGATCGAAACAATTCGGACTGGTCTTTCTTCAATTCACAACACTGCGCATTTGCATGGTAAAAACACTGACAAACACTGCATGGGATGCCCGGTCGGTTTCGATGTATGTTGCAATCACAGGCAAAACACTTAGAAATCATTTTTTGAGTTATACAAAACGTTGTTGTAATTCTGTAAGGTAGAATTTAGACAAGGAGACAGTACCGAAGCGTTTGTGCACTTTTTGACGAATTAATTTCACTTCTAAATACTCAAAATAGCTAAAAATCGCGGAGCTCAGTAAATGTACTACCTCTTAGATAAAAGAATTCTGTCATAAAAGTCTTGAATACATATCTGCGAAACCC